CACGTTTAATTATTTATAATTTTATTTTAAGTGATTTTGAAAAATGTTGTATGACGATTCATCACAACTCAATGGAAATATGTTTATCTATTTTTGATAAGATTCGTCAACAGAATTTATGATTAATTTTTTTTGTAACTTTTAAGTATATGACAAAAAATAAATGGTCGTATGTCAATGGTCTATAACTTAAACTTTTTTTGACAAATTGAATGTGTCAAGTAAATGTTAGATAAAACAAAACATAAAATGAGGAAAAAAGGAATATTGTTTTAATACATTTTTTATTGATTAGAAAAAGCCCATAACATTTTTATTAACAAATGTATTATTATTATAATGGTATCAATTTTTTTTTTAATAACTACCTATTCTGAAAAATTATTAACTTTAAATTCGCTGTATAATGAAGTATGGATGAATATTTTTACAAAATTTTACCAAAGTCCTTGTGTTTGAAATACGAACGTAAATCGTAAAACAAAAATTATTTTATGTTTGAAAAGTAAAGGTTTGTATAAAAAATATTGTAGTAAATAAATAATCGAATCACAAAATAATACTTTATAATTAGTGTTATAAAATGATAAACTTAGATTTAAATTCTTTATACCATCTATACTTATATTATTGTTATACGGTAAAGTTTAATTTAATTAATACCTAAATTTAAGAACTATTTGGACTAGGTGTATAGGTTATCATAATTATTGGTAATTTATGTTAAGCATTAGAAGATCATGCGCTGGATTACATAAATATTTTTTAAATTAAGTTAATTTAAATAAAACTATTAAATTAAGATTTAAAAAATTTGAACTCTATCGACCATATACCATTTATAATTTATATATTATGAAATTGTTAATGATTTATATGATTTATATGTATTTGAAAACAGATTATTTTTACATAATTAATATTCTTGAATTATTGATTCTTATAAATGTACAGTTCTATTCACATCAATTATTCTCTGATGACCCCATTGATGATTTTCTTCAATATTTTAACATAATTATTCCAAACACTTCCCCGAATGTCAACTATAAAAAAAATCTGTTAAAATGAATAGCTGTCTTTATATATAACTGTTGAGATACAATATCAACTGATGGCTTTTACCTCATTTTTTTTATTTTTCGAATCGTCGTAAATTTATTACAATTATAAACTTATCTTGATCGGACGACCGATATAATTATTCACACAATAATTAACAACAAACTAACTAACCTACACCACGTATGAACGTTCGACCGTTCACCGGTGCACAGTGTTATAACAATAATTGGTCAAAACCCAAAGTAAAAATTATCATTTGAAATTTATTTCTCTATATTATTCGTTTACCTACTGAATATAGATAATAAAATATGAACCCATTTTGATATCAGCGTGCTTATTATATAACTGTCCACGACATTTATGATCATCTCAGTATATTTTCTTCTTGTTTGACTCTATACTTTGTTGTCTGTTATTAGTTACGTATTCGGCTGTTAAAAGTTTAATTTAAACAGAATAATTTAAATTTTTTTTTCATCGATTCGTCGGAAGTTGACACGTAAGTTTTATTATTTTGAATAATTTAGTGAATTTTTAATTTTATATTATGGCTATTTAAATCTATATTATTGAATCCCATCACAGTATACTTTAGGTGCTACTGTATATATTTTTAGTCTGACCTACTTTTGTTTTTAGAACTATTTGAAATTATTTTTAATTTAGTAATTCAATAAATGATAAAAACTATTTTTGCTTATAGTTGCCTATTTATGAGTTATGCATTTTTATCTGAATTATGGAAACTCGTCGCAATATTTTTGAATTTATGTAAACAATTGAAGGTGACAGTAGTTTGAAAATTCAATACGTGCAAAATAACTTAAATAAATTATTTGATCGTGAAAAATATTCTAATAAAATCTTGAATTCTATTAAACAATCCATATATCGTGTAAGCAGCGAAATTTTTAAACGATGGAAAAAAGTAATAGGACCAAAGTAATTTATTATAAAAATAATCTTGAATGGCTAAGTAAACCAATTTATGAAAAACCAAAAAATAATACTACTAACCCTGATGAATTACTTTCTACAGCTAAAGGAGGTGGTCCAAAAATAGCATTTGAATTATCTAGTGATAGATCAAAGCGTAGATAAGCGGAAGTTATTCGAAGACATATTTCTAAATCTCAATTGACATATGCTACGTCTATGACTTTACGATCATTGGGAGAAGTGGACACTGCAAAGTTATTGAATGAATCTACTAATACTACTCCTACAAGGGTATCTAAAATTAGAAAATATTGGGAAAATAAAAATAAAAAAATGTCTGTCACTCGAATGAACGAAAATAAAGCATTGTCATTACTAGTAAATGCTAAATTAACTAAATATCAGTATCAACTTATTAGATTAAATGTTAAAGAAAACGATTCAGATATATACCCACCTTACAAATTAATGAGAGAAGCAAAAACACGGTACTATCCTCCCAAAGAAGCGTTTAAAATTACTGAATCTCTTGCTAAAATGTATCTGCAAGAACTCCTTGATCATACGGCTTTTCGTATAATATAATGTCAGTGGAGTGTAGTTGATAGTTTTTTTTACCGAGAATATTACTTCTATGACTTTGATTACGAAATGGGGTTTTGATGACAGTACAGGTCATAGTGAATATAAGCAAAAATATAACGAAGATTTTAGTGACTCACGAATAATTTTAACATCATTAGTACTTATTCAGTTATTTGTGAGTATATCCCATTCACACAAACAAGCTATATGCCAAAATCATCAGCCGTATTCTACAAGATATTGTCGACTAATACGATTTCAGTTTAAAAAATAAATAAAAGAAATAAGTTTAAAAGAAAAAAAATACATCGAAAATCAAATTAAAGAATTAAAACCGATCAAATTATCAATAAATAACTATAATATAGATATTTCACATGACATACAACTTACAATGGTTGATGGAAAAGATTGCAATGCGATTACATCTACTACTTCGGCACAAAAATGTTATATTTGTAAGGCTACACCAGTAGAAATTAATCAAATCGAAAAAGTTACAAATAAGGAGATAGACCCAGCAACACTTTGTTTTGGCCTTTCAACTCTACATGTTTGGATTAGGTTTTTTGAATATTTTTTACACATTTCTTACCGTCTGGATATAAAAAAGTGGCAAGTAAGGGGTGAAGATAAAGACAAATTTTTATCTAGGAAAAAAAATTCAAGAAAAATTTAAAACCATTATGGGGTTAAAAGTAGATTATGTAAGATCAGGAGGTGAAGGAACATTCAATTATGGGAACACTTCTCGACGATTTTTTGATAACCCTCAAAAAGCAGCTGAAATAACTGGAATAAAAGAAATCCTTATTAAACGTTGTGCAACAATTCTTAAAGCTATGTCATCTGGTTATGAAATAAATGAAGAATAATTCAGTGAATACGCAATTGAAACAGCTAAATTGTTAATAAAAGAATATCCTTGGTAATATATGCCATCCTCAGTACACAAGATATTATTACATGGCTCATTAGTCATTTCTGCTGTTTTACTTCCCATTGGCCAAATGTCTGAAAAAGCACAAGAAGCAATTAAGACCTAAAAAATATTCGCGAAAATTATTTTAGAAAATGGTTCTAGGATTGAAACAAACGAAGTCCTGTTACATGGACTATTAGTGTCATCTGATCCAATCATTTCTATCCTAAGAAAGTTACCAACCAAAAAAATGTCATCTTTCTCACAAGAAGTATTACAATTACTAATTGCTGTACAACCAACAAATGATTTGAAAGAAAATAGTTCAAGTGCAAGTGATAAAAATTAATACAAATATTTATTGTTATATTTTGTATATTTTTATATTCAGTATTAATAATTTACAGTGTTTTTTATTTCAAATTGTAATTTTTAATTTTAATAAATAAATGAAAATTTGACTTCTTTAGTGTAAAAAATATAATAATATTCAATAAGTGTCAGTCTCTAATATGATAATACTTCTTCAAAAAAATATGTAAAAATATTTGTAACAAAAAAAAATGTATTACAGGAAACAAAACCTGTATAATAAAATATATCATTATGTAGGTATTTTTTAATAAAATATATCAAAAACAATTTACAATACTAATTTATGTATTGAATTAACACACAAAACTAAAATTAAATTATTTAATTAAAAATATAGTTTTGACCATAAAAGTAAGTTATTTGGCCCACTGTGCGGTGGCTAGAGCCGCCACTGATTAGTATAAACTAATATCTAATGTAATAATAACAAGTTATGATAAATAATAATTCTAGAAATAATAAAAATTTGTTTTTGCATATTTTTCCATATTTTCGTATATAAAATGCATATTATACAATTTTTTATTGCATATAAATCCTAGCCCTAATTATGAGTCATTTATTCGTGAACAGGTACACACATTTCCGTCAATTGAAATAAACTGACGCCATTTGAGGTGCATGGTTAATTTTTAACTATTGAAGTAATACACTCAAATATATGTCTACTCATGATGTGTCATGTCATGTGTAGGTTCTTATATTGTTTTAATCATAGTTATTGTTGGTATAATATACGGAAACCACACCCAATTTCGGTGTTATTGTAATAAAAATACGTAGATTATTTGACGAAAGATAGAGAGAGACACCAACTGATCTTTTGTCTGACGCCTTGCACCTGCCGACCACCGTGATGCCGCCGTCACGATCGCGTCGCAATCGAAATTACTACGCTCACTCCGTATGCACGCGTGCGATGGCAGTGATTACAATCGGTCTGTATACCAGTCACGATCCCTGCGCACCCTTGTCAGCTAGTGCGCATGCGTTGGCGCCCTTGTGATAGCAACTGCTTACACACGCAACACGCGTTAACGACGACGCGATCAGAAGGGGAGCGGTGGACGGCGGTAGTGGTGGCGGCTGGCTCGTGGCACACAGATAAAAATATAATGGTACCTAATATAATGTGTGTGCGTTCGACACACAGTTCACTAGTTGAGCGGCCGGTCGATCGGCGGTGCTATGTTCGTTTTAATTTTACCATTTTTCCGCGTATTCTTTTAATTGTACGGTATAATCTGTAGTGGTCGTTAGATGGAAAACTATCGAGATCGTAACGAAGAACACAAAAACGGACGGAAAAAATAGTTTGAGAAATTACTTGATTTCGATTTGTTTTTGTTTGTTTTTTTTTTTTTTTTTTTTTTTTATTCCATTTCGCACCGTTCGTAAAAATTATTTATTTCAGTAATTATAATAGAAAATTATTACGGTGATACATAACGCTGCCATCGAGCGTTTAGACGACGAATCGTTTTGCAATGTATCTATTCTTTTCACGCGTGAACGTGTAGTGATATAGGCACACCTCGGTCGCCGTATTTCAAAACAGTACACACAACGGTAGTGTGGATACTTAAAACAATTTTTTAAAAGTATCTATTTATTTCATTTTGTTACTTTTTGGCTTCCGTGATCCGATTAGACCTCGTCTAACACGCGTAGGAGCCATGGGAGATGTAAAATACCAATCCGAAGACAATAACAACGTGCCAGTCGTCAAAAAAGGACAATTGTTCCCAAAAAAAGCCGAAGTTGATTTGTCGTTTGAAAATCTCACTTATACTGTTTCAACGTTCAGCCACTATAAGTTGGGTAAGTGTCAGTAAGGGTTTCCTGAATTAATATTAAATTCTACATTAAATTGTAATTTTTATGCACAATGTTCCGTAATAAGGGCATTCGCCCGTAAATGTAATAAAATATAATAATCTCTGTGTAAAATATTAAGTAGACACAAGGTGAGTGCAAGATACAAGAGCGAAAGCAATATCATCCATCCCTTTACTATTTTAGCTTATATTTTTATCATTTTTATTTACTTAATTAAAAATAACGCGGTCCTCGCGTATAAAAGGGATAGGTGCTCAAATTTTAATACTAGAATAAAACAGTAAAGAAACTTTTTTTATACTAAGAATTTAATCGTTATAAAAAAGTGATTAAGTATATAGGTTAAATATTGATTTGTTTTATTGCTGATAGAAATAAACTATTACTCATTGCATTAGTAATTAAACATACATATACATTGCAAGTATTATACTATGTAATATAACACATTTAAGCTCTTATCTTTAAATTTGCATAGTATCTATTGTTTATGTAATATGTTTTATTATTTATCATTATTATTAAAAAAAAATTTTCTCTAGTTAATTTTTTTAGTGACCTTAACTTTGGTCTAAATTTGCAGTATTTATAATCTCAATGAATGTGGTTTTTCAATACATTAATACGTCGGAAAAACATTTTATGAGTACATGTTGTAAATTCTCAAAATTTATATGAGGTTATAAATCATATATAATCGATTAATTATATATGCAGTAGAAACATAATTATATTACACAAATCAACAAATCGATGATTATTACGATCAACGTAATTAATTGTCAACAAAACTTTTATATTCAAATATAAATATTTCATACGAACATGTATACAAGAGAATTTGTCAATGACATTTTATTTAATGTTAAGTAGTTACTTTTACTTTGATATAATGTCAAATATAATGTATACAAAAAGTTTTATCAATATTATTTGAAATAATTATTTGATGAAATAATTTCTGAACTTTGATTTTAAATATTTTTAAGTATGATGTAATACATTATCAAATTATTTATAATTTATTTTCAACATTAACAATTATTTTTATAAATATTTAATTATTAATGATTATTTATATTTATAACATGTAATATCATATAATATATTTATTTTCTGCTAGTAAAAATTATCCTCAGTTGAACTAATTAAAATTTCAAATAGTTTGATAAATCTTATAATTCACTAATTACGAACATTTAAATTAATTGACAATTTTTGAAATTTAAACTATTATATAAATATTTATAATTTAAACTTTGTATGATTTTAAAATTTTTAAGAAACTTTCATATAGATTCACTATTATAAGATTGCTTAAAAACGAGTTAATAAGGTTAATTGATACAATATATTTTTAATCATTATAGTCATTACACAAATATATTTCCATCATTATTTTATAATAAACAATTTATATATATTGTATAAATTATAAATAAAAATCATTAATCATATAGAACAGAGCGTGTCTAAAGTTGCAAGTTCATGAATTTTAATTATTTTTATTGATTGCAGTAATGCTTCTATAATATTACATTTTTCTGAAATCGAATATTAATTCAAATAAATTTTCTACTAACTTATTTTTTTTTTTTAAATATGAAAACTGAAAACTGATTAAAAAATTAATTTTCTAAAAAAAAATTAAAACTTTTAGTAATTAAAATTATTAAAAATTACAGCAACTAGAAATGTATATTCTAAAAATTGTTTCTATACCAAATAATTACGCTTAGTTTTTATAAAAAAAAATAATATCTTAAAATAAAATATGTACTTGATGTTAGCTTGAAAAAATCAATTTAACTAAACATTATTAAACTAAAACTATTTATTTAGTTCAACTAATTTATGACAAAATATTATTTATTAAGATTATTAGAATACCATTTGACTACGTTACATTATTTTTTTTATGCTTAATTGTGTGCGAGTTTTTTTCTTTGTTGACCTTTTTACGTGATAATTTTAATGCAAATCTTTAAAAAATAGTAGTTGGACTTAGGTATTACTTAATTATTTCTTAACATTTTTATTTTTTTAGTAATTGTTTTAAAATGTAGATCATCATAGAATTAGATGTATTACATAATATTTCTCAGTTTTATAATGGAAGAAAAGTGTACCTACATACTATGCATAAATATTTTTTTTGGAAATAATGGTCTAGCAGAGAAAACTGTTTCTCTTTTAGTGGACAGTCCCATATAGATAAATATCTACTAGATTTTTACTAAATGTATTCAGTAGTGCCGAACAGTAGTGTTTTCAATGGAACAGCGAACACGCATTCGTTACTGATAAGATAAAAAAAAAAACATGGGTGCAATGAAAAAATACAGTTAGTCACCCACATAGATTAATTTTGTTTCCTGTGAGGTGGATACTATGTACTAACATTATAATTATAATATAACCTAATTTAGAATTATATAACCTTGTGGTGCAAGTAAATTTCATCAATTTCGACATTTTTGAACATATCTTCTTCTTTTTTTCATTCGTCGGAATATAATTGATGGATTGTTTTAAGGACCAATTTTTTGAGAACCGTGGAAAATTTTTTATTTTCACATCGTCACTTTTTTCATCAGATTAGGTTTATTTGTTTCCAAAAGGTTGAGTTATTTAAACAAGTTAAGACGTTCACCGATTATTTTGTTAAAAGTACTCATCGTTCTTGTTATTCATTGATTAATCAAACCCAGGATCAAACATTATCAAATATCCGTGCAAAGTCATAATATTTTAATAATATTAACGCATTTATTATAACTTATATTTTATGTTTACTTAAACCATTTCAATATTTTATCGTTTTACGGACTAGTGTATATATATGTTATTGAACTTCCGTGAACTTAATAGTAATCATTCTTCGTTATGATTATAAATTTTATTTCTGAAGAACAACGAGAACATAATATTTAGAAATCTGTGCTCTACAAAGTTTAAAAATTGTCATATTTTTATGAGACCAATTTCTTAATTTACAAACAATAAAAACACGATACTTTTTACTGGCGTGCGACTTCGGCTCTCCGGTGATTTTTAATAGTAAACACGAAAAAATCGGACGACACGACGGTCTGTAGGAAATGAGATGTGTGTGTGTGTATGTGTGTGTAGTATGATTGTAATATGGTAAAAAGATGAACGATAGGTACGTGACAATTGTCGATGATCGTCGGGAAAAACATCGAATACCATGTACCATTACCGTGTGTACAAAACCGCGTGGTCGTCGGTTGCAAGAGGATGTGGTGCTCTTCTTCCTGTATGCCGGCGGCCGCTTGACCTTGATATTAATAACAATAATATTATTATCGTCATAACATTATACCTATTTCTATGATTTAAATCACGATCCCGGCAAGAAAACCGCCTACGCCCGGCGTTGACACGTACGTCCGAACGACGAGGAGTGCGTTTTGATATTGTCGTCGCGTCTCTCCGTTGTGTATGTGTGTGTGTGTGTGTGTGACGTTTATAATACGAAACGCGATTATTCTTCACAAAATAATGCGTTGACCGGTAGTTTCGGCATAGCTGTCTCCACTTCTGGTTTATTATTTTTATTTTGGCCTTCTTGCATGGTCGTCACACGTTCCGGCGTCCGTGGTACGGTGATTCTAGTAGCTGGAATTATTTCCCGTAGTTTTTTTTTTTATATTTTCATCTGATATTCAACGTGTATAATTTAATATGTTATTCTGAGACAATTTGTGAAAGCCAATTGTTTTGAACAATTCGTTAATATGATATTGTATATAGGGAAGTTATAAAAAAAAAAAAAATAATAATAATCGAACTATTAATGACTTAATTCAAATATTTCTTTTGACCTCCAAAATTGACGTTATAAATTATAGATAAATTAATATGATGAATATTGCAATATTGATGTTTTGGAGTGTTTATAAAGACATGTAAAATTTGTAGAAGATTTTCGGTATACTTTGAAGTAGATTTATCTTAATTATTCTTTTAGAACGGAATGGGAATCTATTGTTTTATAGTATGTTCATCAATACTTAATCGTGTAAAAACATGAAAAATTAAACCAAAAATCATAAATTTTTTAAAGTACAGGTTCAAAGAAAACTTTTATTAGGTACATTAATATATTATAATAGTCGAATAACATTAAATCTTCCTAACATAATTGAAATAGTTTATTTCAGTATTTCAATATTTCAAAATGTTATATTTTTACTATGAACCTTTACAAGGTTTTTTTTAGGTTTCACAAGCTCAATATTGTTATCTCAATAATCTCAAAAATCTGATTTCATACATTTTTATTACTGAATAACATTTAAAAATATTTTATTACCAAACACTTATTTAAACTAGATTGTTTTAAAAGTATGCATTAGTTTATTATAGTTTTAAAATGTATTTATATACTAGAATATATTAATATTTATTTGATACAAGTGGCTTCTGTAGAGATCTCAAAGTTAGACAAATATTAAAATAATTATATAGTTGGATGACTGGTATTTTTTGTACGTTTATTTGAATGTCAATTTAAAACACTATTGTAATTAACAAACTTTACTAGCTGATTTACTAATCATTTAAACTGAAGGTTAACTAATAATATTAAGTATAAAATATATGAACTTGTATGAATTTAAAAGCAATATTTTGAGTTATTAATGAATGATTATTTTTATTTATTTATTTATTTATTTTTTTTTTTTTTTGCTGTCAGGATGATTAATTAAGTAAATTCAAGGAAAAATAAGATGGTTCTAATTTTATTGATATTTTTAATAAAATTATTATATTAACTCTAAAAAATAATTAAATAAAACATAATTTTAATTTTTTTATAGAGCTGACTTACCAACTTCTGAGAAATTAATATCATTAAATAATACATATTATAAATAAAATTTAACACCATATGTAAATATTTACCGAACGAAATATCAAAGCATAATTTATGTATTTATATTTACTTACTTATT